CTCAAAGATCTTGAGTTTAGTGAAACGGACCACTAAATCACAGCTGTCAAGACATCGTTGGTGGTTCCACAAGGTTGAAAAGTGTTTCTTAATTCTTATGGTTATCACTTCAGTAATGCCATTTTATAAGTGCTGTAGTGCTTTCTCAGAGCTTGTTTGAAGAATAAAAAACCACGAGCTTTCTTTGGTGGGACTCAAACCTATGACCTGTAATTTCCTGTTCATGATATCCTGACAAGTGTAAGATTAAGGCTTCCTAGTTGATGGACAACAGATATGGGAACCCCCTTTCATTGACTGTATTTGTCCATGTCTTTGATTTTCTTGTCTCGATTCTTGGTGCTAGGTCAGCAGCTGATGTACAACTATCCCTGGATCTACGACTTCAACCTCCCCTCTGAGCTGGTTAGCCACACCCCCAGCATCAGTCGTGTCGCTCACAAAGAACATGTGACATCTCCTCCATGGAATCGGACAGCAACTCTGACATCCAGGGCAGGGCAGAGATTTATTAGTTTTGCCAAAGCCAGCAATTTTGGAAAAGGTGAGTCTGCATCAGGTATCTTCCTGAAGGACAGGGATGACATTTATACTTCTTTCAAGAGTTTCATTTGTATTTAGTGTACAGTTGAGGATCTTTAAAGTAAAGCCTGCTACATGTTGGAGTACATGAACCCATGTTGGCACTTTCTAAAACATCTCTGTTTTGTACTGGAACCCTTTTGCCTGTCTGGATTGTTTCTTGTACACTTTCCCACTTGTGTTATCCAGTGTGAGCCCTCATTGTGTCTATATCTAGTTTTTATTTTGAACTGCATTTCTTCCGCAGATCTATATGCAGGATGGCTGGCTCCATACTTCAACAGCACCCTGTATGTTGAAACGTGGCAGAACGGTCCAGGAAATATGAACAGCTCTTGTGTCAAAGGTCGAAATGTCAACAACATTAAAAACTTGAATCTGGCTGGGGGAGAAGCCTTTAAGAACTCCAAAGATCACTCTAAGTGGGCAGTGACTACCAAGTCTGGCCTGGCATGGACTTGTATTGGGGATATCAATCGCCAGGTAAGTCTACCATATCGTTACCTCCTCTATCTTCCTTTTAATTCAGTGACAGGATCTAGTGTAAAATGCTACATGAGAAGGTATCGCAGAGCTTGTACGATTGCCAAATTTTATTCTTCAACATCACAAATAGATAGTACACACTGAGTTTATCCTACTTGCTGTTCTGTTCTCAGTGTCATCAAGAGTTTCGTGGTGGTGGCACTGTCTGTTTTCAAAACGCAGCAGTCAACAAAGTTTTCCATGATTCAGTGACTGGCATTCAGCAGTGTCCTCAACCACAGACATTTTGCTGTCTACCTAACACCCATCGTGATTTCTGAGGACATTAAACGTCCTCACAGTCTTACACTTTTCTCAGTGTTAGAAGTTGACAGTTGGAGATGGGTACAGTCCTGAGATGGTTTACAGGATCAAACCCTTGTCAGGTGAATTAACACGGTTGATTACTTCTTGGAGTTTACAGTATCACAGCCTTACATAATCCATTTAATCATGACTTTAATAATACCTTGACAGTTGGAGATGGGTACAATCCTGAGATGGTTTGCAGGATCAAACCTTGTCAGGAGAATTAATGCAGTCCATTACTTCTTGAAGTTTACTGTTAAACCTCCATGTATCACAGCCTTACATAATCCATTTAATCATGACTTTAAAATACCTTCAAATTTTCCTACTCAAGGTAATTGAAATTTTGGAGCAAATGAATTTTAATAAATTAATGGAAATTTGAGTGTAGTTTTCGGCTATACTGTCATTTATTTTATACAGAATATTGTAATGGATTAATAATTAATAAGCACTGAAAGGAATTACTTATTGAGAGGCTTTGGTTTAACCAGAACAGGTCAGAACCTACATTTTAAACCAAATTTCATTCGAAAGAAACTATATAGGGAATCTGACTAGGTGCTTGTAAATGATTATAAAGATGATAAAAGAAATTGACTGGAGCTTCAGTCAATTTCTTGTTCATCTTTATAATCAAATTTTATTCGTACATACACAGTTATTGTCATATGGAGTATTATTGTACTCCAAGTCTGTATTTGTCATAAAAATAATGAATGTGTTTAGTGCAATGGTGAGAATAGTTTCAGTTGCTTAACCCTAACAGTCCTCAGTCCTCCAACAGGTGAAGGATTGAGGAGGGTTAGGGTTAACCCTAACAGTCCTCAGTCCTCCAACAGGTGAAGGATTGAGGAGGGTTAGGGTTAACCCTAACAGTCCTCAGTCCTCCAACAGGTGAAGGATTGAGGAGTGTTAGGGTTAAAGAAACTATTTTCCATTACACAAAGTAATTTACACAAAGTATATGTAACAACATCTGAATAAATTCTGTTTTTATATTAGCTTGCCATAAAAGAACAACGTGATAATTCCATATTCCAAGATTAAAATGTCTGTTTGTACGAAAAGTCACCAATGCACCTTCCATGCTTACATGTTGTACAGCATTCTTTGCTTTGCTTGAAGAGCCACCGCTGTTTCTGCTGTGCAGATACATGTTAATAAGGCTCTAAATTGGGTATGTCATTATTTAACTGTCACACCGTTCGATATAAAAGTCAGTGGCACATGATTGACAGATGACCCATCAATCAAATGACAGAATTTATTCAGATGTGGCAGTAAGCCTTTTCATGGTCTGTTTAAATGTTGGTCTCAACCCTAACGCATCACTTCAGAATGTACAATGATATGATGTGTTTACTTTTAAAAGCTACCAAAGACTTTAATGCGATTTTGGAAGTTTTAAAGCAGTTAAATTATCATTTTACCCAAACAAAACATTTTAAAATGTTAATTTATTTAAGTTCCACGTACAATTTGCTCATCATAAACTTTGTACATTTTTTGTGCATTATAAAGCAACTGCTGCATTACTTTTTTCACCTTTTAAATTGCTATTCTTAACATTGCACCAAAAGGTAACAGTTTGTTTTTAAGAAATGAAATATTTTACACAGAATAGTAGATGTTGTTGAGAGTCAATTTCTACCCAAGAACATTCTGGTGTTTTAGAAGCAGCATATGAACCTACAGACACAAGCAAAGTGACTGAATCCATTGTCATTTACGCTTATTACTTCTTTATCGTGCCAAATTGTACCATTTACAACATTTTTGAATAATATTTTAGAATATTTCTATCCCTTGAGTACTATAAAATATTTTGCCTTCCATAGTGCGTTACTATTTTGTATCATTTCTGTACTCGAGTAATAAAATTGTACTCGGCCAACTTGAAAACTGGTTATGACTCCCATCTTCACAAGTGATGAAGAATGGGCATGTTGACTGGAACGTTTTAAACATTGTACTGCTGAGTCAATTCCGATAATTCACTATTTTAATATTCGACCTTCAATTTGATTGAATATCTGAATATAATCGCACCAAGCGGCAGATTCTTGATAAACAGACCGTATACAAAATCAGTTGCAATAACACACACAGTTGTACATTATGATCAATATAATAGCTTCTCACATCTAGGAAAATTTCCAGCCACGATTTTGCAAGATTTAGGAGATGAACAATACTTTTTGCCCCATTGTAAATTTCTGTTTAATAATTTACTTTTTGAAGCATTGTAAGATTTCTGTCACTTTTCATTTGAATCTGCTCGAAACAAGCCTTCATATGTAATTTTTCTCATTTGAAAATAAAAGAAAATTTTCCCTTTTCATGAATTTTGCATTCGAATATCCAAACTCGAAAAATAATATTCCAATATTTGATCAAAGATCAAATATTCAGAGATTTGACACAGCCCTACAACGTTGTTCACTTTGTTGCATTTATCTCTCAAAGGGTTTGTTCTGCTGTGTAATGTAGAGGACTTGTAATCAATAATGAAGTCTGAAAAAACCCATCTCACAGCATTAGGTCCTCACAGTGTGCTACTGAGGACAATCAAGTATAAACTGTGTATCAGTGCCTTTAGCTAATGCTTTGGCCAACACAGCAGAGACATTGTAAGGTTATCAAATTGATTTCTCTGCTATATCTTTCTCATTTGGAATCTCATTTCAATTTAAGAATTGTCAGGAAGCTGGTTGGTTCATATCACTTTTCAGGAACTCTGTGTATTAATATTTTTGAGTTTAACCAGGAAGCAGTAGTGGTGAGCAGTGTTTATGGCATTCAGGGTTATGTGCATTGATTATCTGGTGCATATGAGGAAGAACGTTCTATAATTTGATGAATGTGGCTGCACTCATAAACGCGGAAAGTAAAACTTGGCAATGTTTCTGTTTCCGGGGAGAGTTACTTTTGTTTTGTTTCTGGTGTTGAATCACTCAGCTGAGCACATAAAGGACAAAGTGTATGGTTCAGGAAAACATCCAACTATCATGAGCGTCCAGTAGACATGGACTCCCAACATCTTTAGCAAGCTGGAAATAGTCCCTTCTTATAAAAATATTTGACATCTGGATTACTTTTAGCATTGTCCTTTACCTGTGAAAGAAAAGTGGGGTTGAACAGCACTATACATTTATTTGTGTTGAATTTAGTCCTGCATTTCCCTGAAAATTTACTGCAACTTCCCTGTACTCAGTGACCAAAAACAAAACAAGCACTCGGTGTTTGTTTACACCTTTAACCGTGGCACTCACTGGTAATTTTTTGGGGTTTCAGTTTTACCCATATATCCATTTGCCTCATTTTCCTATAAATAGAAGGAGGAATCAGAACATATTCTGGCTCTTGGTTGATCAAGTTCAGAACCATCTTGGAGTTTGGTAAAGGTTTGAATTACAATACAGATAGAACAACGGCCAGGAAGTGGAAAGCTGACAAAGTAAGAGTTGACCTGTTAACTTACAGATGTTTGTCTTTTAAATTGAGAGCAGAATGGTAAATATCTGAGGTATTTTACTCCAGTCAGGCTATGCTGAGAGTGAATTTGGCTGGAATTATCCTTTTTCCAAGGTTTAGTTACAGTATTTTTGGAAGGAGCATTTAGTCTGTTTAGCATTCTTCATTCTTTTGAAATTTGAATGTGTCATGGAAAGCTCTACTTCCTATTTTCTTGATTTGTAAGTCATAACGTAAATGACTGTTAGAATGATGGCTTCTGTTGGGCATTTCTGAAAGAGATGAGAGGATCTTCAACAAATGAAAGTACAGTGTTCCTCAAAGTTTGACTTGTTTAGGGATTTGACAAAAGCTTTAAAGTCTAACCCTGTGAGTGTGATGTAGAATCTGGTTCTGAAATTTAGTTCCAGTTCTTTTAGAACCTCATACGCATACTCAGAATAAGCTACATCCTTGCACGGTGTTACCGCAAACATCTTGAACTTGCTACCTTCACCGTAAAAAGCTTCAAAGCTCAAACTGAAATTGTTATTCAAACAAACAACACGGATTGAATTTCTTGAATTTGGTCACAGGTGTTTATGATGCACAGCAGTGTGATGGTGTTCATTTTATTGGCTGTGACTGTCTTCACTACCATATTGGTGGGAACCAGTGAGGCAGAGGTGACGTGTTTGGATGCAAATGGGAAACCGGTTGATTGGTAAGTCTCTTCAAACAACGAAAGAGAAGTTGGCGATTTTTTTTTTTTTAGCATTTGAATTTTCTCAACATTCTCAAGCTTTGATGTCAGCACCTTGCCGCTGTCTTCCCACTTTCTTCTCCATTTTTTCCAGCTCTTCTATTCTTGATCTCTTTTATATTGCCTGGCAGTATCATGGACATATCTGAAACAAAGCATGAATGACAACAGTTGTCTTCGTTTGTGCTATCCTTTATTCAGCATATGCAAATAGTCTTGTTCTTGTTATTCTAACTCAGGTTCATTGTGTACAAGCTTCCTCGAGATTCTCAGGGTCAGACATCACAGGTTAGAGAGGGCTACGCTCAGATGTACATGGATGTCAATAATCCAATCTTGAAACTTTCTGATGTCTGGCTCAATGCTACTGACCAAGCCATCGCATACACATTACAACAAATCTACCAGAACTATGGAAGTCAGGTAGGAATTTTTTTTGTTGACTAATGAAATGCACTCATTGGTTTACCAGACCTTAGTTTCATGTTGTCTTGTGCCAGTTAGAAATTGCTCCTTTGTTTTCACCTTTGTTGGTGACTATTCTGAAAAAAAGGAACATTATGCAAGAATAATTATAACTTCCTCATTGCATATGGATTCCTCAGGCATGAATATGCTACAAGTTGGTACACATTCAACTGTAAATTAGCCTTATACACTATGCACCTGTTGGTGAAGTGTAGGGGTCGCCCAGTTAGACCTTGCAGTGATTTCTGCAGGTCTTAGAGTCTATCACCAGTAACATGTGCTTTACTTTGTAGGCTTGGTCTTCAGGTCAGTGCTTCAAAAAGAGAGAGAATACAGAAAAAATTATCTTCTTACTTCTTCTGTGCCATGAGTACTCAATAAAGTTTCTTCATCTTGAGTTTCTCTGAAGTTTACCTTATCAATTTGCCACAAATAGCACTCGGGAACATGTATCATAAGCTGCTCACATCCAGACATCATTTCAGATAAAGTCATCATCAGAAAAATTGTTTGAAGTAAATTAACTCATTAGTAATGCAAATGAAAGTTACAAATGTATGTGGAAAAATCACTGCACAGGACACTTTACAAAGTTTTCTTTACTGAGTATTGTTAGGGCAGGAGTTATAAAATAAATCAGTATTTTATGTGAATTCAAGTGCAGAGTTGTTTTTCCCAAAAAAATCAAAATAAGCAGGTCAAATTACTTTTTCATGAAGATATGTGAAACCTTGTGATCTTGGACTGCCAAGTACTCTTAGCTTTTTTTTTTATTGTGTTCTTTGCAATTTTTTCTCTAGAAATTGGCTTATTTGATGTACAATGACCAACCCCCTGATGAAGTTCCAAAATGGAGATGTGGACATTCAAAGGGTAGAGAGTCCTTTTTTATTTGTTTGTGTATGTGTTTTTCCCTTTTTTGGGGAGGGGGCGTTGATATTCTAGCAAACGTTATTCAGGGAATAAAAGATTACTTGTGTGAATTTCTCTACGTGTGTTGACTTTTTAACTATCTTTGGAATTTTTTCTCCATGTTATGTAGAGTTCCTGTGTATGTTTTTCTATGATGACTAAAGTCTGTATTTTTTTCTCAGAAGGTTATTATACATGCTATTGGTCAGAATTGTAAAACTGTGCTTTGGGCAAATGCAGGAGATTTTCAGGCACTCGTAAAGAGGAAGGTCAGATCTTTATTGAATTGATTGTGAGAAAATATTACAAAGCATCCATTTTACCTATGCGACAAAGGAAATCCCTAGGAACATTTGAGCTATCAATGTGTTTTTATTTTTTCATGACATGATTGTGAAACAATCTTTATTCGTATACTCGGGTCTGTTTGTATACTTCTGCCCACTTTTTTGTACTGTACATGTGTTTTCATGTCCCTAGTTCAGTGACTCTCTCAACACAGCTGTTTGCCTTCCAACCCTACAGGTGACCTTGCCTTTGATGGTACCAGTGGTTTTTGGCTGGTTCACAGCATACCTAAATTTCCTCTTCCTTCATCGGAGTACTACAACTGGCCAAGCAATGCTAGACGTTTCGGCCAGCAACTCCTATGTGTTACTTTCCGTTACAATCAGTTTGAAAAAGTTGGTAATTACATGTACATAGATGTAGGTGGAGGGGCTATTTACAAGGGAGGGGGCCATCAAAGAGAACACCCTGTGTAGACCTTACAGTGTTGAAGTAGTCTTTGAAGATAAGGGTTTTGTTCCTCACTAAAGACATAAAAACGGGCTTTTGTGAATTCACTCTAAGATCATTGGTAAAATTAATGCATAAGGTCTGTTTCGCCCGTATGACCATTATGCCATTGCAGTGGCTGAGTGTTAAAGCTGTTAGTACTGTTCAGTTGATAAGCAGGTGTATCCATTCTCCTTCCCTCTCTGTGGTCTGTACATGTCCTCTTTCTTTTACATCAAACTTGTTGAGGTGGGACGGTGTTCTTTGTGTCCTTGATGCTAGGTCAGCAGTTAAAGTATAACAACCCCTGGGTCTATGACGCCAACCTCCCTTCTGGCCTTGTGAACCACACCCCTAGCATCAGGGATGTGGTCAACAAACAGCACATAACATCCCCTCCGTGGAATCGCGCTTTGGATCTGACGTCAAAGGCTGGGAGAAAATTTGTCAGCTTTGCCAAAGCTGGTAAATTTGGGAAAGGTAGGTTTGGGTAGAAGGGACACAAGTGAATTCGTTACCACCCTCAACAAATACCAGAATGACATGTGGGCCATTCCATGCAAAAGTGGAAATTAAAACTTTTACCAACCTTGTTATCATTTGTATTACATAAACCTAAAGAGGGTTTTCAAAACTGAAGTGGAAGTACCCTTAATCGTAATTTCACTTTCTTTCTTTTTGAAAAACTTCATTTTGTTTATGAATTACACATAATAATGATGTTGGTAACAGCCTGACCATTGTCCACGTTGGTGTAGAATTACCCACGTACATGTATTTTATATGAGCTTAGGGCATATTAGAGCTTCTCTGAAGTAAAGTTTACGAAACACTAGGTCTCGAAATACCCCCCAGTTAATGAAATATTTTCACTTTTAACACAAGTAGGCCAGCTCATACACAAAGGCATAGGTCCTTGAATAAGCCATTTGCGAGTTAAATTTGAATAAAATCTGGTAGACTGAGTTCTTTAAATTCACGTGAACATAACAACTTGAATTCTCCATACTAAAACCACTATTGCTATACCTTGTGATTCAGGGCCAGCTTTTGCTTAGCAAGAGACACCTTGCAACAATACACTGTTCTCAATGGATAAGAATGGTACAAAGGAACCAGTCCATTCCAGAGATGGTGGTCGCTATGCAAAAGCTTGCCCCGAATCATGAGGTATAGCAACAGTGTCTCTAGTCTGGGGAATTAAAATTGTTACGTTTTCATGCAATCAGATAACCAGTGTATCAGATTTTATTCAAATTGAACTTGCAAGTGGCTTATTTCAGATGGGAAACTTCTAGTTCACATCTCTGCTTTTCAGGATTGTTTTGCTGACTCGGTTTCTTTTATGGTTCATCTCTGAGCCTCGAGCTGGACCATGAGAGGGCACAATTTCCTTGGCAACGGAGGCTCCTTTGGTCAGAGCTGAACTTCGCTGGTTCATAAACAACAATGAAATGTATGCATTACCAACAAAATGAACACCCCCAACCAACATGGCTCTTTTCAACTGAGGGGGTGTTTCTGGATGTGTTCGAGGCAGATAGTATTTTCCCTGTTGTACATACTCTATTGTAAAATCATGTTGGTGTGATGTACCAGTTTTCTGCTTTTCTTCCTTAGATCTGTATGCAGACTGGCTTGCCCCTTACTTCAATAGCGACCTGTATGTTGAGACATGGCAACGCTTGGGCAAAAATATGAATTCATCTTGTGTTGGTGGTCTTGATGTTTACAATGTCAAACACTTGAACCTGGCTGATGGAGAAGACTTTGGGAATTGTCAAGATCACTCTAAGTGGGCAGTGACGATTAAACCAGGTTTGGAGTGGACTTGCATCGGGGATATCAATCGTCAGGCAAGTCTACCACAACATCATGCCATCTGTTTTCATTTACATGGACTTGGTTCTTGTGTAAGCAATCAAGTGGCCTTAGCAGGTTGTGCATAGACCATGTGAATTCCAGTTTTATTTTGATCTTACTTCAACAACAAAAGGTACAGGTTGAGTTTATCATATTGCAATTTCTGTTCTTATAGTTTACTCAAGAGAGGCGTGGTGGTGGTACACTCTGTCTTCAGAATGCAGCTGTGAGTAAAGTCTTCCGTGATTTAGTAACTGAAATACAGCAATGTAGTCAAGCAGAGAAACATTGTTACCCTCGCAGCCATCGTCAAGGGTTTTTTTAATTCGGTGACTGGTATACAGCAATGTCCTCAAGCACAACCATCTTGTTCTCACTGTTCTCTGAGGAGATAAAATTTTCCTGCAGTCTTGTGCTTTTCTAAATGTAACAAGTTGACAGTTTAAGGATAAAATCCTGAGATGTGCAGGATAAAAGGGTTAGGGGATTTAAACTTTTTCAGTATTTTTTGCAGCACTATGTTAAACTTAGTACTGCATCCCTCAAATTCTTGCATAATCCATTTAATCAGGACTTTAGTAATACATTAAAATGCTCCCAATCAAGGAATTTCAAATTCATATTTGAATTAGTAGCATATACAGTCCGAGAACTTTTAGTCGAAGGTTTAAATAAACTGTGGTAAAAATTTGCATGTGGTTTGTACTGTAAATTCATTGTAAATAGAATATTTTGATGACTAAGAAAACCTTACTGAGCGTTTAAATATACGTGAGGAATGGTATGATTTGAGATGGTCTGGTTAAACCAGAACAGGTTGAAAACCTATTTCAACTCGAAATTTTACTTATATTGGGTCATAGCTCTGAAAATAATGTCGACTCATTTTGTTGAAAAGTAAATCTATATTTTATAGCCTGTAAATGGTCTATATTAATTCCGTCCTCCCCTTCAAGTATTATTATTTGTAAATTTTTGGAAGGTACCAAAGATATTAATGCAATTTGAAAAGGTTTATAAAGCCAAAATCATTTTAAATGTTGCTTATTTTATGAACTGTCCTAGGAAAAATTTGCACGTAACTTTTGAGTTTGTGTGTATGATGAGTCAACTTTTGCATTAAAGGGCCTTTCACTTCTAACTTCACCCCTTTTTAACAATGTCCTCTAAGGCAATATATTGTCCTTAAGAAATTAAGAATTTTACAGGGGAAATGATAAAAAACAGGAATTTTTACAAGTAAAATGACATATGAATTTAAAATCATAAGAGGAAAATGACTGAATCCATTGTCAGCTTTGCATGTTATTTTATCATAAGTACATGTTTATTCGTGCCCGCTCATTTCGGAATTTTGACAAAGAAGTTTTTAATCACAATCTTAGACATTTTATAT